TATTAAATGATATTCATCTCCTAGGTGGATAAATAACTTTCTCACTTGGGTAAAAAAGCACCAATACTTGGATAGGATAAAATTGGCTGATCAGCTGGTTCAACTAGAAATTTGATGAATTGATCTTGGTTTTATGAAACTGTTTGGGTTACAACAGGAATAGAAATTTTAACATGATAATGACAAGACTAGAACTCAAAACATCTTGTTTATTTATATTGTCTTGTTACTATTAATCCATTTCTCAATTTGCATTTATTTGTGCCTCTTTGGTGTATTTATTTTAAAAGCTTGGAAACTAGCCATCTACCAACCACATGAAAATATAATAGTATTTGTAAAATATATTATATGTAGCTTTTATATAAATTACAAAAAGGTATATGCATATGCCACTGTGGTTGAACCCTTGACCCATGAACACTCTCCCTTTTCTGGTTTTATATCTAGTCCTGTGTAGGGGTGTAAACAGTATTCGGAAATCCGACTTTGAATTCAATATTCGACATTAATCGAATTGAATTCAGATTTGAATATCTAATCTGGTCGAATTCGGATATGACCTTATTGGATTCAAAAAATATCCGAATTCGACTGATTATTTAATTCTTATATATAATATATAAAATATTTTATATGATTTATATATATAATAATTAAGTTATATAAATAACTTATATCCGTCGGATATAAAATAATTTATATATTTATTAATTATCTAAAATAATTAATTAATCGAATTTGAATTGAAACGGATATTCGAATTTGGATATTAATTTTCAATATCCGTTGGATATTGAATCGAATTCGAATTCAGATATTGCGTAATCCAATTCGAATTCGATCTATTTACACCCCTAATCTTGTGTTCTTAACTATTATATCTTTTCTACCAACTTCAATGGTTTGTACAGGTTTCCTTTCCTTTCCCTACCTTTTTCTTTCAAACCTTACATGGCCTTAGAATCCAATAGGTAGCCTGTCTAGTAGATTCAAAGCTACATGATAATTCACAATTTGATTGAACAATGCAAAAAATCTGTAAAACCTTAAAAAATAAAGAGTCCAACTACCGTACATTTTGAATATTTGTTGCAGGTTAGATCAAAATTTCAACCAAGTTAAATATGCAGGCAAAATTTGTGATGCATATACAGCACTATGTAGCAAAAGATGTAATTGGTTGAATGTAATGGTAAATATATTTTGTTAAATATTAAAATACACTTTGTAAAATATAAATTCATAAAAAGTGTAAAAATTTTAATGTGATTTATTGAGGTTTAGATTTAATGTACAACCAATAACAGTGAATGCATGAAAACTGAACTCCATACATTAAATGTCACTGCACTTTATCACTTTCTCTTTCAAATTTGAGTTAATGTCAACCAATTTCCGTAAAAATGCACCACAGATTTTGCCAAAAATAAATGAAGTTTGGGAGAAACTGTTCTGAATTTTACTTGGTTTGGGAAATAAATAGTCCTCCCGACCCTTGTCCTCACCTTAAAAATTGAGGCGTACCCATCACATGAACTTCTCTCTATACTTTGTCTTGTACAAGGGAAACAAAATATTCTGTCAAGTGACAAATCCTAATTAAATCATGAGCAAGAATTGGACCGACTGAGTTCTAGAAATTCTTCAAATTGAGTAGACCTCGGAAGATCCTTCTAAGTTCCAGGCTCCAAAATCATACGAAAGATAAGTGCTGGCTGTGCTGCCAACTCCCAATTAAAGTTATAGCTGTAATGTGGGCTGGGCCAGTGGCGGGCCGGCACCACCCATCATGACAGGGGCTGTGCCTGGCACGGCACGGTGGTCGGTCGCTACAGTACCGTACTGGGCCTAGGCTGCGGAGGGGACCGAATCACCGGACTCTCAAAGCACGGCCCCAGTCAAAGGGCTCGACTCGGTATGACACCCGCGTCAGCCTGGATTTTAGAATTATTTGTAATATTTTCAATTTTATTTGAGAGTTATTTGTAATATTTTTCCAATAATTCAATCCCATTGTAATTTTTATATTCAATTTTATCATTTTATTATTCAACTCCATTGTATTATTTTTTAATGCATTTTTATTTTTTTGGTACATATTAAATTTGAAAATTTTTGAAATTTCTACTTTTTAATTTTTCGAATTTTTTGTTTAGAAAATTTGAAAAAATAGGCCCAAGTTGTGTCCGACCTGCCATGGCCCAGTTCCTTAGGCCTAGCATGGCTGGGAATCGGGCCACAGGCCATGTCAGGCCTAACCTGGGAAGGGGGCCGGGCTGCCCAAGCACGGCACGGATGGTTCCTGGGACCTGGGCCACCTTCAATCCATGCCATGTCAGCATGGCACGGCCCACATTGCAGGTTTAATTGTTTGTTTGCAATGAAAATCTGAATCAGATATAGATTATGCGAATTAGGATTTGGTGTTAACACATGTCTGTCAACCTGACTAAGTAACCAATAATGAGTGGATACACAAGTGTCCATACACATGGGACTATGGGAGCCACATCACCAGTGTTCTGTACATATGAGACGCATAGTACACTAGGGTGTTAACTTGTGATTGGTTACATTGCTTAGCAAGATGCCATGCGATATTTTGCACCTGGCCGGTTTAATTTTGCATCCATTTGTTTGTAACTGATGCAAATGTTGTATCACCTTTTTCTTATCTCACTTCTCTCGAGGGATTATGTCATTTTATTTCTCATCTCACACCCAAACAAATAATCCTTCACCTACCTCCATTTTCTTTCATATAAATTGGGACAACATCATTTTACTTCCTCTTTTACCTCACAAACAAATAAGAGGGTCAATTTTGAAGTGAAATTAAACCAGATCATGCTCAACTTATTTGCACTCCATATATTTACATCAATGCAAACCAAATTTACACTACAACAAAAACTGAGCCTTAAAAGTTCAAATAAAGCTTATTCTTTACCCTCCTTTTCTCTTGGGTGGAAAAAGAAAAATAAATCCTTGCTCCATTTTACATTCATATTTTTGTTTCGAATTCAATTTTTTGGCATTACATATCCAAGTGCCTAACTTGATCTTCCATCTTTTATTATGATTCTTTTAGTTAATTTATTACTGTCTCCTTTGCTCTATTCAGGTCTGATTCATCTTCGCATGGAATATTAAGTTTGGCTCTGTCAGATTTCTAGCACGACTCGTTTCATTATAACAAGGCCAAATTCCAATTAAATTGTATCGTTTAACTTACATGACCATCAATGCAATCAGCGTATGCGTGCTGAGTGTATCATCTCTTAAAGAATTCAACTCTGCATTTATTTAAAGGTACGTATATCTCTTGTTTGTTAGATTTTTTTTTTTTTCCTCTTGAAATCAATAGACATTGAGCTAGGTAGGAAAATATTCACACTTTGGAGCATTGAGTCAGTCCTCAAATAATGGTAGAATAAAGAGGGTCAGGGGATTCATTCCTGCTCTTTAATCACTTGCCAACTACTAACATGTAGATGTAGTGCAGCAATTAAAGCTCTTACAGTCAGGAATTGCGGCTACCATCTTACTCATCATAACTACCCTTCTATTGCCACGTGTCTAATTCCTCCATCGAATACGAATTATTTCTAAAGTTCTGTTTGGCAAGTCTTTTTTATAAATATCTTCAAGTAGTATAAATGATAAAAAGATATATTGAGTTTTTAGAGTTTTGTCTTTAAAGAAAAGACCTTCGGTGGTAAGCAGCTTAGTCCATCGGGTTTTTAAAAACGCTGTTTAGAGGTTATCTGTTACGCAGAAAGACATGGAAGATTTATTTGAAGCTTCCTGAAATACAACATTTTCGGTCTTTTCAAGTCTTTCTGCATTTGTGTATTTTCATCTTCCCAGTTTTTGATTACCAAACGGAAAAAGACTACCCTGTGGAAATACCTGGCAAATACTGTCTTAAATATCTTACTGGGATCATTTGTTTTTGGTTTAGCATTTTAGTGTAGGACTATGGTTTTTAAAACAGACCCGAAGACCAAATCGATCAGGGGTCTGGTTACCAGGTCGAACGGTCGGTTCATTCTGACAAAAAAAAAAAAAAAAAAGGTCAAAACCGTTTGAACAATAAACTGCCCTGGTCAGTGGTTTACTGACAAAATCAATAGTTTCTGAAAAAAATCCAGTTTTGGGGAAAATCAAAATCGATCACGGTTCCCAGTTTTTCCGGTACGGTTTTAAAAACCATGTGTGGATACATCTTAATGGTGGGTCGATGTCTTCTTTAATTAGACAAGTGACAGCTTCAGAGGACACCTCATTGTAGACTAGAGTGGGCTCTATTCATTAAACGCGACACGGCCCAATTCGTGTACTTATTCAGTCCAACTATTACGAAACAGAATCATGGCGGTGGCAATTCTTTCTCTATCATCTGGTTTCAATGCTTCTGCCCCGTTTTAAATTTGTTTGTTTCAATAGATCTCCTCTATGGGCTTGAAGACATAGAGTTAACAAAAAGCCTTAATGGGCCTACAGAAGCCCAGAAAAAAAAGTCTGACAGCTATTAGAAGTTAAAAACTATATATTTTTAATAAGCTAATAATGGATCCAAGATCTAAATTGAAGTGTATTAATTGGATTCATTTGGATCAAACACTTTCTCCTTTTTAAATTCTACTCAACTGTTTGTCATATTTCTTTTGTTTGATCATCCAAAAGTAATCCCAGAAGGCTTGATCAGTCATTGGTCATGTGTTGCAGCACTAGGCTCTCTCCTCCTGGGTGAACATAGTGGGTGGTGGTGGGTCTCATCCCCCATGTTCCTGCTCGTTGAGCAACTTTAATTTTCAGTGGTAGATCTATATTAAACTAGTAATGCTTTGCGTTTACGTTCATATCTTTTATTTCTTTTTTAATCTTCAGAGTAAGAGGTCAAACGAATCTTGATCTGATGTCTGTCATCACTGTTTCTTAAAACCCTGTATAACAGATCAAATTACTATCACGCCCAGATCCAGATATGAGAGGAAAAAGAGACCAAGAATGGCCATGAAACAGTACAATTAAAATCTGTTGAATTAAAATAGTGTATGTATAATTACTAAACATAATATGTGTTACAATCAAAATTAGCTTGAATCATTCAATAATCTCAAATAGTCTTTCAATTCACAAGGGAAACAAGGGTATCGCCTCCACGAATTTCCGTGCAGCTTGATCATCTTCAATGCCTTATCCTTTGTCGAGGAGCGGCCATCCATGTGCAGCAATGCCAGAAGCTTCTTCACCGACCCAGAAACTAACATCTCCTTTAGAACATTATTCGTCGGATGAGAAGTGCAAATCAACCAGAAGATCTTCACCGAATACTTGGTCGCCGTGTCGGAGACTCGCAATATCTTCTTGGTGACTGCGGCAATCCCCAGCCTGTGCTCCGCCAAGGCCAGTCGTCCCTCGGCACATTCACACAGCAATTTGATCAGCACCAGGATCTTCTCACATTTGGATCGGTTTGCGTCGGGGAGAAGCTCAATCAGGACGCAGACTGCCCCCGCTTCGATCGCCTTTAATCTATTCTTCTTCGATGCATTCAAGATCTCAATCAGAACATCCAATGCGGAAGAGCTCGCTTTGGTGTTGATCTCATCCGATAAGAGCTCCAGCAGAGACTTAAACAGATCAATACCCTGATCTTCAACAACCCAAGTCCAGTTATACTCGACTTTGGCCATCGTCCTGAAAATGGAGACGGTGTGCAATCTGGCCTCGGCGCTGCCCCGTTGAAGCATGATCGCCATGGAATTGATGCATTCCGGCTTTGATAACAACTCAATTGATGCTTCATCGGAGAATGAGAGTTGGTGAAGAACAGCTAAAGCTTCCTCGCAAGCTCGAAATGCTGTGAAATCAGAAGTGTCGACCAGCAGGATCTGGACGATTATGCGAGTGAGCACCTCGACGCCTCCTGATTGCACGAAATCGTCCTTCACCTCATCGTTAAAACCGATAACAGCACGGAGTTTCTTCAGAGAAGTCACCATGAAAGGCGTGGACTCGATTGTTGTCAACAGAGAGACCAACTCATGGTGTTTGATGGAGACGGCCGGGGGAGAAGATGGTTGAGAGTGGTGAGATTGTTGATGGTGCCAAGAGAGAATGAGGCTTTTGAGGGTGAGGTTTGGAGTGAGATCGAAGTTGTGAATGGTTTGCATAGTAGCGGGGCAGGTCTTTTTGTTGTACTTGAAGAACCACTTCTCGATGCTCTTCCTTTCGTATGTGACACCGGTTGAGATGATAACAGGGTCTTTCATGATCTCCATTGAAATAGGGCACCTGAAATGTAGAGGAGTTTCCATGGATTCATCAGCTTGCTTTTCGTTCGCCATGGCGCTTGAGACAGACAGTGAGAGCGAGGGGAGATCACCAAATTTATATATTTATATCATTATATGAGAGAGAGAGAGAGAGAGAGAAACAATTTAAGTTTTTTTTTTTGGTAATTTTGATTTATTCATTTCCTTGCTATTGTATGTTACAACCAAACTGACCGTTTGGATTTTGACTTTAAAAAATGGGCAATCCATGATTTTAGAAAATAAACCGTTTTGACCATCGATTTTTGGATTGATGATTCGACTGTTCGGTTAAAATAGATTGCTTATTCTGACAAAAAATAAAAAATAATTAAAAATAAAAAACTGTCAAAAAAATATTGAACGGATCAATTATGATTCGACTGCCCGAATCAGCGGATCATCAACTACTTGAAAATTGTCAAAAAAAATCAAGTTTCCAACAGTTTTACTTCAGTAAGTAAGAGTGTGAAGGCTTCGTTTGTTATTTAGGGCGGTTGAACAGCCTCTCTCTCTCTCTCTCTTCCTAGATGCAATTAGCCAAGTGACCCAATTAATTCCAACTTTCAAGTGACCCATGCTTGGTGGGTCAGCTAACCAGCGGATGGCTGGTTAGAAGTATGCTTTAGATAGATTTAAGTTAGAAGTATGCTTTAGAAAACTAAACATTAAGATAATTTAACGATAGTTGAATTATCAATTATCCTACTGTGGAGAGAATCTCTTCAGATAGAAGAAATCAAGAGATATAGTTGATTAAGATAATAATATCAATCCACTAATCAATCAATTAATTAATCATTCTCTTGCTCTCAACTATTACGTGTCAGCTAGAAATGAAAACGATAAGACGATCGAAGAATTAAAACAGTCATCTCTTACATCCATGCATTAAACAAACTAACGATATATCAGAAAATTAAAATGGCTCGTCTAATTGCCACATTGAAACTGAATGGTAAGACGGCTAGAATAATTGTGATCTTTGAAGAATGATGAAGTATTCCGGTTATGGTTGAACTGGCCTAAGATGTCATGTTGTCTTTGTGGTCGCCTAATCACCTTGGCTATGTTAGGGTTGTGTCACCTTCGCAGCCCACTTCATCCTCTCGGCCAAGTCAGTATCGTGTCACCTCCATGACCTATCTTATCTCTTCGACCACATCGATATTACGTCATGTGGATAAACATGATTGAGATAGGAGAATGGATGGAGACAACTCTTTTGGGGATTAGGTCTTATCCCGAAGACCTTAATGGTTAACCTCATTCTGACAATCCCAGAAGTCTCATCTAACCAAGACATGGATCGTTGACTATAAAAAGGTATCTCCTATTCAAAGTAAGGGATCCAATTTTTTCCATACCGTTACTTTGCTCAGATCAATACTGTTCTCTAAACTGCTCAAACCAACCACCCACCTTCCTTGAATAACTTGAGCATTGGAGTATCTACCCGGGCCTCTAATCGCTTTCTTGTTTATAGATCTTGGAACACCACTTCATCTTTCTACCTTGACTTCACTCAATTTGTAGGATTATCTAACCTTAAATCGAGCAACATCATTGAATTTACAAAATTAAGAATAAGTGTGTCGATGCACTGCAATCATCAAAACCCTTTCGTCTCACTCTTAGTAAGATAGTCAATAGGGAACAAGATACGGAGTTCTGTAGATGAGTTGCACTCTGTCTTTGTTTTGGCCTGTTGAGCGTGCATTTAGTATCCTTACCATATTTAATTAATGAGGATACTTTAGAAATGATGCATGACGTGCACGGTGCACTGCACCAACTACAGTTATGGCCGTGCCTGTGCAGCGCTGTTATTTTGGACTCGAGAAACACATCCCACCTAGCTCGCACATGTATCTGCAGCAAAGGTACTGGTTATGGTTAGTTGGATATACATCTGCATACATAAATTCCAACACTAATAGCTTCAAATCGATCAAGAATTGTTCTTAATTTGAAACTTTGACAATCATAAACATCAGTATGTATGGTCTAAGGCATGCATGCATATCCTGCCAGCAAGTCTGAATTACAGATTGTTAGGACCAGTTAATTGCAATTCTGGTTTTGATTGAGGTGTGTTCCTTATTAGATGACTTGCTCTAAGCCTTCAAATGTCAAATCTATGGATTGCCTCTGGAATTTTGAAGGGTCACTTTTCAACGGTTGAAATGAATATATGTAAAAAAATAAAATACAATACGTAGTCTGATCATCATTTAGTTATATGTATAGATGACGATTTTTGGCTAGCTCGGCAGGTTTCTGATTGTGAGGTGAAAGTGAAGCATGCCCAGTGATGCATCTTGATCAAAGACAAGTCGCATGTATAATACAATTGTTATATCTAAGGCGTGTTGGGTCTCATAACCCCTTAAGTGCAAGGAATGGTCATAGTTCAATGAAGGTGATGGTGCTTGTATTTTCTGAGGTAGAGCACCAGCTAGAGAAAGGTCATGATGGAGGAGTGATCTATAGATATCGCTTTGATCGGATTTAAACGTATTTTTTTTATATACAATTTAGTCAAATGGGGATTTCTCGAATCGATTGACATGTTAAGGGTTCCTACTGACCCTCCCATGAATGACAACATCATACATCACTTTAAAAGATAAGGTTAAATAGGTGTTGTGACCGAGACTGAGGGGGTGTCCATGCTTTTGTTTTTTATTTGTTTTCAAATTGCCATATAAGCAAAAATCACAAAAAGACGTTCTTAAATTGCATTTTTTGTTTTTTTTTTTTAACATGGGTTTGGTCATTGATACATTTAAGATACATGTTTTGAGAAAACCCTACAAGCATGGCATGTCCAAATCCATAATATAACATGGGTTTGGTCTGTCAACCCAATTACAAACCCTCTGTATTCAATGAAAAATTTTCAATTTCTCTATAAATGTCTGGTCTGGTCATGGAGCAAGCCACAACTCCACAATCTTGTTTTTGGTTCCCAAAACAACAACGAAAGAGTTACAGAATGCATTTTTGCTTGTTCCTAACATGACAATTTTGAAAATAAGGTTGCATTTGGAAACGATGCAAATAGAGTATAAATCCTGATTCAGGGTAAATTTGCACTCTCATGTGTTTGACAATATTACATTTATGCATTGATAAATAACAGACCAATGCACATTTACATTGATAATAAGATGTAAAAGTACATCAATAAAAAAGAAGTAAATTTGCATTCAAGTGGACTTTCCATAAAAAAACAAAAAAGCATATGCTGTATTGGAATTTATGTTTGCAACCATTACAGCTGAAAATCTGTTTAGTAAAAAAGTAAATTTGTCAGTGCAAAACTAATCCAAATTTGCAATATATATGAACTGTTTTCCGCTCTACATATTTGCATTTACACTTATTTACCTCTTTTCCAAACACAGCCTAAGTGAAAACAAAAAACGTTTAATTTACATTGTCAAACACCCCCGAAAATGATAGCTTTTAAAACCAAAACAAAATTTGCGGTAAGGATGTTATATAAGTTAATATTTAACAAAAACAATATTATACAAGTTATGGAATATGACCTGGTTCATTCATCAGTTTTCATCATTTTACGAGTTTGCTTCTGAGAGGCCCAAACGCAGGATCTATATTCTTTGACAGGGCAAATATTCAGAATTTCTGAGGTAGCTGTTTATGCTCCTTCCTTTCGAAGGTGGGACTTGGGTTTATTCTTTACGATTTATCCTTTTGCTTCGTTGATGAATTGGGCTCATAGATTCCGTCATGGTGTCTGATGCAGTTTTTGTGGACCTGGATGTCCCTCTACAGTAGCAATAAAAAGGACACCATGGTAATAGAATTTTTGTTATAGAAATGGTAAAAAAAGGTCTTAGAATATGAGTAGTGCTTGTTTTGGGTGTTTTGCATTTTAGCTAATATGCTTGTCACCTTTCTTTCTTAAAAAATTTGTTCTCCTAGGAAGGAGAATACGTTTGGCTGTTGGAGACCTGACAGTTGAGAAGCTTCTTCCACATGACACATACTACCATAGATGTAGGGCAAAAGAATAATTGCATTCAATAATCTTTTGACCAAAAAGACAAAAAGGGGTTTGAATGGGTTGATGTGTCATGAGGAAAAACCTCTTCAACAGCCAAACTATTCTCTCTGCTAATGCTCAATTTGAAAAGAATACAAATATAAATATGTGGAGTGCAAAACCCTTATATATTATACTTCTAAGTTTTAAGCCTTGTATTTGCACTTGTATATATTTATATTTAGATTCTTTCCAAACTGAGCCTAAACTGTTAAAAGCTTATTAGCCTTGAATGAAGAAAAATAGCTCATTAAGAAAGAAAGAAAAATCAAGACAAATATGGTTTTCTGTAAACAAGAAATGAATCCTTGTTAAAACCCATTTTAGTTTATTAAGAGGGGTGTTTCGGGATTGATGGATGTTGGATCTTTCGTTGAAATGGGCTAATTGGCCTAGATGTACCTCCACCAGTTTTATACTTTTAGATATTTCTTGTTTAATTTGTGAAGAAATCAAGGTTCTCCCTCGTACATTTTGGTTTAAATATTGTATAAAAAATTAATTAATGAGGTACGGCTACAGTTTACAAAGGCACTCGGATATACATGTACAAAATTTCGGTTATTTGTTTTATTTCTAGAGCTTCTCAATTGATCGGCCATTAATTCCTCCTAGAGCCCTTCAACAGCCATTTATTGCCTAATACATCTCTATCCACTCCCTCTCCCAAACCCCTACTATGCATATATATATATATAAAGGGTATGATCCATTTATTGTCTCTATAAAACCATAGGGGCTTTTAATGCATTGATGGACCAAAGGTTTGGGTTGGAGTTGTTAATGGGTCGGATCTGGTTCGGATAGGGTGTGTCAGTCCAAAACCGATTATCAATAATCAGTTTCAAACTTTCATATGATAGACTCGGTAATGTACAAGGACAATCGGATCTAATATGATTAGATTCAATTATACTTGAAATCTATAATACCTATGATGATGTTGATGATTTTTACAGTTTTTGTTACTTGGTTTTATTTATTATTTGTTGTGTTAGGAAGTGAGGACCACAATTTATT